ATTTCTTGAAACCAATTTCTAACAAAGCTTTATCTAAACATTGATGCCAACATCTCCCAGCCTGTTTCAATCCATGCAGCCCTAGGAATCTTACAGGATGGCCCAGGTATCAGAAAAAGAGGACTACAATTTTTGGGGTGGACTATGAAAGTTGCAGGAAGGTCACAGGGAGGAAATACTCTGATTCATGTGATAAAGCATCAGCCTTCTTGTTCTACAAGCTAGAAATGTAAAGGATATGAAAGGTAAAATAAGAGAAGAACCATGTTTCCCCAATATCCAGATGGCCCCCACTTTGCTGTTGTTTAGAAGAGCTGTGAAGACCAGGCTCTTCACCCAAGCCTTTGGCTAGAGAGAGTGAGACCTTGCTTCATTGAAAGGTCCCTGTTAAAAAATATAGTTCCTTTTGGCTAGAAGGAATTGCCAAAAGGGAATGTGTAAGAGAAGAGGCTGTCCTCAAAAACTGAAATAGATTGTAGAAGCACAGTTCCCAAGATGAAATCAGAAGCACCATTCTACACAACAAAACAATAGGAGGGTGGGCTGAGAAGCTAATGCCAGTTGAAGTTGAAGTAGTGTTCATAGAACTTTGTAATGGATCCTGAGCATAGGAGTTGGCTATCAATAATCTGCAAGACTCTGTTACTGTAACCCTATAATAAAAGTATTATTAGCATTCATAACTTTGGTTTTCTTGTCTGGTCTACTTTGAAGGGCTGACATCAACCTTGCAAGTCTGAATGTGCCTCCCTCCTCCCTGTCTTTATCCTAAAGAGAACCAGGGAGGGTCAAGTCTGGGATGTTTTCTCAAATTACATTTCTGCTTTGAACACAGATTTCTCTTTTCTGACCATTGTCTTGGCTGTGGCTGTTCCTCCTGTTCCTCACGGTTATTCTCTCAGCTCATTGCAGGCACCAACTGAGTACTTGGTGTGGAAACTGCAGCTAGTACAAAATGCAGTAGTCATGTTAATGAGAGGGTTTCCTGTCCATGTATGTGTTTAATTAATTGATGATGATATGAAGTGGTAGAAAAACGTATTTATAATAAGTTACTATGCTACAGATTTTGTGTTGGGTGATATCAAATAATCCCTAGTATTTCTACAGATTGCTATAAAGTGCAACGTAAGTTATGTTTTTATGGTATTTTAGATGAGTTATCTTGAATGCAATGCATTCATATTCTGGTATAGCAAAGACTTCTTTGTAGTTTGTTTTTTCAAGATGTTGGTGATGTTGGTTTACAAAAACCTAGGTAACGTGGATCCAGTAGACTGTCTTCACCACAGGTTTCTTCATTATTTAGGCACTTTTGGGAACATTGTATAATCATGCCGTCTATTTACCAATTCAGAATAACAGAAAAAAAGCCATATACAACATTACAATGTTATATATATTTACAGTAGTCAGGAATATCTTCTGTTATATCATTAAAGCTTATTCTGAGTTAAGTGTGTATAGAGTTGCAGGTATTGTGCTTAGTTCTTAGTTATTGTGTTTTCAGTTACTCTTCCAAGTGCCATTCTAGAAGTGTTATAACATTGTTATAGTGCTTATTGGTTTCTGATATCAGGGATGGGAGAGGAAAAGAAAGAACGAGTTAGAATAGGGCAGAACTAGGCAATCTCTTTCAGCATATTTGGGATTTTGAACATATTATAGACTCTCTCAGAAAATTGTTGCTATATGGGAGTTTTCTCATTCACAATATGGCCATTGCCAGCATGGTATACCCATTTAGCAGAAGACATATTGGTGGAGTTGCTTCCTTCCATCCCCTATAGCCATTTGAATGACTTTTACCAAATCATTTTCTCTTTGCCCTTTCTCTGGTCACTTTTTGAAGCAGAGCAGGGCTGTAGTGATCCATTCTCTTTATTTTGTAAGAATGCCTATGGGATGTACGTAATGACCAGGGGCATTCTTGGCAATAAAATGGTACTGGGATCTGGTGCATTGTTCAGCAGCCCACCAGCTTCTTTTGTGGTTGTTTTAATTAAAAGGATCATCTTTTTAAAAATTAATGTGGGCAGAGAGCCTGGCAGGCACAAAAGGAAATGGCCATAAGACATTGTAGTTTATGGGCACCAGATTGCCTACCCCTGCGATAGGAAGATGAGACATAGAAAATGTATATCAAGGTTTTATAATTAGCATATTGTTATGCATCTAATTATCTTGAGATAAGGAGGACTATGAAATTAAATAAATTAAATGCCTGGGGCAACTGTCCAAATTGTGAGCAGAGGCCAAATGTTATTGGGTACAGTACAAAGAAAAGCTCATAGTCCTGTGTTCGAATGTAGTATATAATTATATTAATATGGATCTCATTTCTTCCATTTCAGTCTCACCCCTACCTCCCTTTGAATAAACAACTGACTTTTTAAATTCAAACTTACTTAATTAAAATGTAAACATTATGTCATTGCAAGTGTTACTCCAAATGTTGATTTTACTTACAATATACTAAGGTATTGTCTTTCCATTTTCTAGGAATTCCAACAGTATTCTTTAATAGAGCTAAAATATCTTGTAATATCTCAAAAGACTGAAATAGAGCTTTTGCAACAAAAATTGAAAAGAGCAAATCGTTCACTGGCAAATCATAGTCTTTGCAGCAGAGATTTCTTGGATTGCATCGGTACTAGGGCTGGAAAAAAATACAAGGTAGGAAAGTGTTTATTGCCTTGTGTATTTGTGTCAAAATGAGGTTGGCAAAGTTTGACATTTTGTTCTGGGACTCGGATAATAACAGTTTTAATAACTGTCAATGCTGCTTATAATTCTGGAAGCTTGATCGAAGAGTGTTTTTTTAATCTGCCAAAGACTTGTTAAAATAACTGTTGGGAGTAGGAAGTTTTACCTTATTAAACACTGGATAAAGGATTGTTAATTTAATGAAATTATTTAAAGGTTCAATTCTTTGTAGGATTCTTAGATGAATATGTATTTACTTGATAGTGTTTGTGAGGATGTCTGTTCTTTCCAAACAGATGAAATTGAGGTTAAGTTAAAGAAAGTTTGAGATTTAGAAGTCTGTAATAAACGGAAATGCTGTGTTGGGACTTTATACAAATGATGTTACTTTACTTTTAGAATTAATTACAGATTCTAAAGGCAATTATTTTACATTTATTTTATTGCTTAGAAATTTTCTTTTATTCTGCTTTGAAAGCTTATACCATGTTTCACTGCATCATTAATCAAAACACAAATAAAACAACAATAAATTCTATTAAAATATCTGCAGAGACCTGATACCCAAATGTCATTCAATTTAAAAAGATGCTCCACTTGTCAGAAGTAGTATATTGTTCTGCACTGAGACAGCTACACTGACTGCCACTTGCTTTCTGAGTCAAATTTAAGGGGCACACTTTGGTGCATAGAACTTCACGATGCTTAGGCCCAAGACCACCTACTGCTATATAGTTTATCTCACGCTCTTAAGACCTCAGTGAGGGACTTTATGCAGGTTCCATCCAATCTAACATCAGCAAATTCTGCCTTTTCCATTGTGGGATCCATGCTATGGAATAAATTGCTGCCAACAGAGTTCAGGCAGACCTATCTATTACACTTCAGGAAAGGGCTTAAAACCTCAGTTTTTGCTCAGGTGTTTTAAAGATATTTAAACAATTATTTTTATCATTATATTTAGAATGTTTAAATGATTTAGAATTGTATATCTGTATGTTTGTAAATCACTCAGGAACCATTGGCATGGGCAGCAAATAAACAAATAAATTAGAGAAAAGGGCAGCAGCCCTAAAAAGTTGGGGGTAAGGTTAGATCACCTGAAGAAGCACCTCTGCAGTTTTGAAATTTCAGTTTCAACATAGACAAAAATAAAACAATAATACTTACTAAGTACTTTAGATTTTGGACCTGATCTGTCTGTCTATCCACTCTTATATAGGCATTTGGAAATATCAAATTTGTGGTAGATATTCCTGTATGTTGGTGCCATTTTTATAAATTGAAATTTCAGTGTAAGATTTAAAGTATAAGCAAACTGGCTTGGAAAAATTGTTCTGCAATATAATTACATAATCAAAAAACTCCTGATACTCATGTAGACCAAGTAGAGCCTTTGGGAATTGGGCAACATACAAATATAATGAATATAATAATAACCATAGGTAATGAAACTCTGAAACATATGAGCTGAATGTGACCTAGCAGGACTCCTGATTCAGGCTGTAGAGCCCCAAATGTGACTTTCTTGTTCCCACAAAGCTTTAGCTAGCCCTGTCATCCTTCTCTTCATGCAGAAGAATGCTAGAAAGGGTCACTCCAGTCTTCTATACCCAGAAGTGCTTTTGTTCATGTGCACAAGTAGTAACATTGTTGGCATACAAGGTGCCCTTGTGCAGAATTCTAGTTAGTTCTTTTAAATATTCAAAATATTATATCTCCTTATCTTTCTGAGACACTGTTTTTCTATATAACTGTGCAACACAGCTTTTGAAATGAAGTGGGTGGGACCAGAAGCCTGAATTGTGCAAAAAAAATTAATTTGAAACACACTGCCCCCCATTATTCTGAGTAATAATTAGTCCCTGTTTCTTTGGTACATGGACAAAAATACTCCTCTCCTTCAAATCTAGGTAAAGACTAAGAGTAATTACTCTTTTCCTTCTATGTGTAATGGGATGTGAGAATAAACTTGGGAGACAGGAGGAAGAGCTGCAGCCAGGACATCAGTCAGACAAGAGGTATCTCAGCCCACAGAAGGAATGGGGGTGGAGAAAGTGTCTCAGAAGGGACCCTCCCTAGTTCTCTGAAAAGAAAAGGCAAGGGAGGGGAGAAGTGCTTTGCAAGATTCTGTTACTGTAATCCAGCAATAAAGGTGGTGTTAGTACTCATGGTTTTGGTTTCCTGTCTGGACTACCTCAAAGGGCTGACACTATGTGGGAGGTAACAAGGGGTTAATCTTTAGGGAAGGAAACTCATCTCCCCAAAGTTGTCATCTGTCTCAGTATAATTCTCCACCTTAAATAATAACGGTATTGATAGTTTATGGAAACTTTTTGGACTGCTTTCCATAAAAATAATCCCTCCCTTTGCTCCAGTTGGTTAAATATCTGCAGATCCTCTTGATTTCTATGTGCCCTAGAAATGGAAATTAAAAATAATCAGAAAATATGGAGATTGGATTTGAACATTTGTGTTAAGGAAGAGGAGATGTTATTCTTTCTTTCACAATATTTTTCTGATCAAAAATTCCTGTCTTCACTCCCACCTCCTTAATCTGCATATCATTATCGTATTATGGCACAGGACCAGGCTATCTGAGGAGCTGTCTCACCCCTGTTATATCAGCCCGCCCCACTCGGTCCGGCAGAAGGGGCATGTCACAGACCTTACCAGTCAAGGAATTTCAACTGGTGGGATCTAGGAAGAGGGCCTTTTCTGCGGTGGCCCCCACTCTGTGGAACAACCTACCTCCCGAGGTGCGGTGTGCCCCCACTCTCATGGCCTTCAGAAAAAGCATGAAATCCTGACTATGCCAGAAGGT